CCAGTCTCGGCATGGAGATTGAAGTCCCCCAGGACCAACATCCTGGGGGTCCTCAACACCAGGTCCGAGACTGGTCTGACCGGGGTGGCTCAGGACTTCATGGCCTCCATGACAGCCATGGGGCTGTCTCAACATGTCACCGGCCCGACCCATGAACGTGGACACACCCTGGACCTGGTTTTCTCGACGGGGCAGGAAGAGGGTGGTCTGAGGGTGAAGAATTTATGTCTGACACCCCTGTAATGGTCAGATCACTTCCTGGTGAGGTTTGAGCTCGAGAGCGGCCTCTCCCTCTGTAAGGGTGCAGACCCGATTGTGTGGGTCCGCCCTCGGAGCCGGATGGATCCGGATGGATTCCTGAAGGCCCTGGGGAGTTTCTGGCTGACAAGACTGGTGCTCCTGTCGAGGCCCTGGTCGAACTGTGGAACGGGGAGATGACCAGGGCTGTTGACACAATCGCTCCGAAGCATCCTCTCCCACCAGGCAGAGCCCACTCTTCCCCTTGGTATACACCTGAATTGTGGGCGATGAAGCAGGCTGGGAGACAGCTAGAGCGTAGGTGGAGAAAATCACGGGATGAATCTGACCGAACACACTTAAGAGCCCATTATCGGGCCTATGCTGTGGCGGTGAGGGCGGCGAAAAAGAAATTCTTCTCCATCTCCATTGCCTCCTCAAAATGCCGGCCGGCGGAGCTCTTTCGAGTGGTGCATGGCCTGGTTTATCCTGGCCCCAAGAAAGATCTGGTTTCACCCTCGAAGGCCCTCTGTGACGACTTTGCCAAGCATTTCAGGGAGAAAATCGCTCAGATTTGTCACGAGCTAGACTCTACTAGTGACTCAGAGGTTTCTGGGGAGATACCAATGCCGCCGCCTGGTCCAAAATTAATGGATGAATTTCAGTTATTGCGGCCTGATGATGTGGACAAGGTGCTTGGACGAGTACGTCCTACCACTTGCCTATTGGACCCTTGCCCATCTTGGTTAATAAATAACACCAAGCACGGGATTAGGATCTGGATCTTGGAAGTGGTTAACGCTTCTCTGAGGGAGGGTCGGGTACCTGCCTCTTTAAAGGAGGCAGTAGTCCGACCGGTCCTGAAGAAAGCATCACTGGATCCAAAGATGGCCACTAATTATAGACCAGTGGCCAACATCTCGTTTTTGGGCAAGGTGTTGGAGCGGGTGGTGGCGGGACAACTCCAAGCACTCTTGGATGAAATGGATTATCTGGACCCATTTCAGTCCGGCTTCAGACCCGGGTACGGTACTGAATCTGCCTTGGTCGCCCTGTACGATGACCTGTGCAGGGAGAAGGACAGGGGGAGTGCGTCCCTGTTGGTTCTTCTGGACCTCTCAGCAGCTTTCGATACCAT